TGTGGGCATCACCCCGAGCAGACCATTAGTGACCAGCTGACTCACTAACGCTCTCATTAGTCTGCAGTGAATTTTTCGCTGTCGGCGAATTCGGCGTCATTCTGGCCCAGAGTCGCCACAGGAAGTGGCCCCGGGAATGAGACCGGAAATGGCAGTGAGGGCTTTGCACAGAAGCGGGTAACGTATGGCTGGCAGACCCTGATCGCGAGGATGCTCTAATCCCGTCGAGCCCCCAGCTGTCTTTAAGCTGCCCCACTTTCTTCCATACAATCGTTCTGTTCCGGCTCTGGACAGTCTGATCAAATTAACTGACTCATTTCCATGGTTACCCAGGCTAGATCTGACCTGTGACACCTAGGGAAATGGCCGGGGGGGGGGGGGGGGGGCTTCCAGGGGCTAGAAGACCTCAGTCCTCTTCAAAGATGCTGTGCAGGGTAGAAAAAACACTAAAGTGTTTCCATAGAGATGCTTTTTGACCCCGTTTAGCAGGTTGTTGATTTCTGATTCGTGCAGACCGAGCATCAGGGCAGGTTGTTGGTTTCTGATTCGTGCAGACCGAGCATCAGGGCAGGTTGCTGGTTTCTGATTCGTGCAGACCGAGCATCAGGGCAGGTTGCTGGTTTCTGATTCGTGCAGACCGAGCATCAGGACAGTATCATCTGGGCCTCAAGTGGTCGGCTTTAAGCTGTTTATCTTCTTTTTTCTTCTTTCAGTATTTTGTATGTTTAATGTTTTTCTATTATTGTTATCATTTTAAACCTTTTATTTATTGTTTCTGATACCTTGAGATCACACTAAATTGGTCATCAGACCAACTTGTCCTATTACTAACCCCCCTCCCACGTCCGTCCTTATCTGGGGTGGGGGTTCAAACTGGATCAGAATGTCAGCATTAAATTTTCCGCGTTTACCTATAGTGCAACACTAAGTGTGACCCGTCTTACTGTGGAACAATCTAATTTCTACGAATTGCCTTATTTGACTGTAATTTCCTTCCTCTCTGTAATTATCCGTCTCCTGTTTCATCTTTGTTCTCCTTTGCTGTTATTTGAACATGGCCATCGTCCATGTTTTTTGCAGTCATCACAGCATGTTGTTGTGAAATTTTCACAAAGAGAATAAGTATGTTTCATCAGGGCCCAGTTGGATTAAAATATGAAATTGAATATTCAGTGTATAATTTCATTCCCATAGCTTAACTAATGCAACGATTATTTGTAAAATATCACAGGCCTTAGTTACTCATGTAAGCTCTTATCCCAAAAACCAAGAACCTTTCATTGATTAAAGATAATTTATGCCTTGGAAAATTAAAATGTTACCATTTTAAATGGCTTGGGTGTGCAATCCCTGTTTTCATTTTATTTAAGCTTTTAATGAGCTGTGTGGTCCCTGGTCCCTACTGGGACTTGTTGCAGGTATTTAAATTTCAGCACACTAAAAGAAGAAACATTTTCCCATTCATAATTATCTAATACCAGCATTTTCCCAGGGAGTGATTAATTGGATAAAAGGTAACAATGTAAACACAATTTAGTCTAAACCTTTAAATCATTAAATACTCTCTCAACCTATTTTAGCTGATCATGTGATCTTGGAGGGGGAATCGTGTTTAAGTGAGCAACGGTTCGTGGGTATTTGCATACCAGCATGCATTGCAACTGCTAGCATATAATGGCAATAATGGGTCAATCGTGCAGATTTACAAGCACGTAAGTTTAAATATCCATCCATCTTCCAGTGACGTATGCTGATCGTGGTCACTGGGGGCCTGGAGCCTAACTCAGGTCGCACCTTGGACAGGTGACCATTGCGGGGCACATAAAACAGCATGAATACAAACATCTGGAAATTTAGGGGCAACAATTAGCCGAAATGCATGTCACTGGACTGTGGGAGGACACACAGCAGACACAGGGAGAACATACACACTGCGCACTCGCATGGCAGAGGTGGGATCTGTACTGACAGCACTGCGTTAAATTTAATAACAACAGATTTTGCAGTGTGATATCATGCATTGTGGCAGGAGTGACTGTACCTGTAACACACAATACATCTACAGCACTAATAACACCTACAGATTCAGAAAACAAATGGGAGACTGATGCACATTCAATGACCAACAGAGGATCAAGGCAAGAGCAAATGTATAAATACATGGGTAAAGAAGTCAAGACAAGTGTGGGCCATATAGATTAACCAAACACTAGCACACAGGTGAGGGTCATTAACAATCACAAAGCGCTAAGGGTTCAAACACTAGGGGATACTGGGAGCAATGGATAAAGAAGACTTAACTACCAAGCTACATATGAGCAGGGATAACCAAGAACAAAGGCACTAATGTAAGAACCAGTACAGGAACACAAATGCAAAATAATTACGGAGCCTCTCTCATGACATACTGATAAAAAATATATATCATGGGAACGATTTCATAAAACATAGCCACGATTTAACTAAAATGAGGGAATGGATTGATAAAATATTTACTCATAATTTAATACACTGTGGGAACGAACGAGTAAAATGTGGGCACAAGTTATATCATGTCCGTTATGTCAGCAGTAGGGCTCCGTATGTATCTATAAGTAGCTATAATGCATTAAGCTAAGAGTTTCCAGTTAAGTGCTACCAACTTTTTAATCTTTACTATATTTTTAGTAATGACTAATATATGATCTGCTCTGAAATTATATGGGTGGGGTCTGGTCGGTTTAGAGCAGGGGTGGGCAATCTTATCCAGAAAGGGCTGGTGGGTATGCAGGTTTTGGGGATAACCCAGGTGTGAGGACCTTATTAGGATCTAATCAGGGAGCTGCAGTGAAAACCCAGACACACAGCGGCCCTTTGATTGTCCAGCCCTAGTCTAGAGTTTGTTTCACTAAAAAATTTTAGTCAGCAGTCGGCACTCATGCGCACCAGTGCAGGTGCTGCCAAACTTGAAGATGGACCTCAACTGCTTGAACTTCTCTGTTTTGATTTTTGGACAACAGAGGTCACAAATACCAAGTGTATTGATTAAGATTAAGATTAAGATTAAGATTAAGTTAGGCTTTATTTATCCCAGGGGGAAATTCTGGCAAGCAAGTCACAAACCACTCCATACCAGTCTATGGGGAATGACAGTGTGGAAAGGTTTAATAGAACTCTTGGAAACATGACCCATGCTTGGTCTCCAGAGGTGAAGTGCAATTGGCCTTGACATTTGCAGACCTTGACATTTTTTTGTATAATAACACAAGCCTTGAAACGATAGGGTGCACATCCTATCACTTGATGTTTGGAAGAGTCACCCACCTCTCTGTAGATGCCCTTTTTTGCTCGGTGCTGTATGACACAGTTGTGGTCAGCTGTGATAAGTATGTTGCTGCTCTCACCGAAGACCTGTAGGAGGCGCTGGCAGCAGCACAAGAACACGCCTCAAGGGAATAGACTAAACGCAAAAGTTAAGGGGCTCAACAACAACGTTGGTGATCGTTTGTTCTTGGCAAACAGTGCAGAATAGGGAAAATTTGCTAACAGATGGGAATAAACGGTGTTCAAGGGACTGTCACCTATAAGAGTAACCCAGTGGAATTTACTGATGTTGGAAAATTTAATTCACCAACTGGTAGTAATGTTCCATCAGTGCTGTCACTGGAAGAGAACAAAGGGCCTATGTCAAAGATCTGATTCTGGGGGAGGTGTGGATGACAATTAAGCGAGGGACACCAGTGCCATTGTCCCCTCAGTCCCATCAGCAAAATTTCTATATATTTATTTTGCAGCATATTTATTTTGCTATTTTGGACTTCCTCTGCTGGCTCCAGGAGGTTGGGCTCCTCCCAAGGTTTCTTCCTTTCTTCTTTTCTTCCTTTCTTCCTTTCTTTTTCCTTGCCACTGTCACCTCTGGCTTGCTCTCTGGGGGCTTTGGGCAGTGACCATGTAAAGTGCCTTGAGACAATGTAGTATTATAAAAATGCGCTATAAAAAATTTAATTCAATTCAATTCCATTCAATTCCATTCCATTCGTGTCCAACTGCTCCTGCAAGACAATTGGTCCCTTACCTGTCCTAGATGAGGATGCTGGACGTTGTATCCAGGATTGGGTCTCACCTGTTACTTTGACTCAGTCTGATCTAGCCTTGAGTCAGGTTTCAGCAGTTCTACACCCAAGTTACTACACCCTTGCACTGATGTATAGTAAATTACGATGATTCAGGTCTAAAATTCCTGCAGTCAATGTGATGTCAGCAAAACAGCAGGCTGATGGCAGATGTACGTCTGCAGTCCTGCCTCACGCTGATGAGTACCAGAGTCCATACACAACCCAGCATGCCTACAGAGGTCAGATCTCGCTCTGGTCGCATTAGCAGACTGACAAATGGATTACCCTGCACTGTTTTTGATCTGAATATTTTCCAAGGTACGGCACATAATGTTCAGGCTGCCTGTTCAGTAGTGTTTCAGGCTTTCAGAGGTCATAGGGCTGTGGCCCAGAATAAAGACGCATGATTTAAAATGACACAGCGATAGACCATTTGGGGTCAATATTTTCAGTTCTGCAGGTTATATTACCTGGAGGTTATTCTCATTTTCCTTGTCCCACTCTTCGGAACAGGGGGTCTCCTTGCTCTGTGGGGGAGATATTTCTTGATTGTCTGGGTACATAAGTCATTTATGTGCATGGCTCTTGTGGGATGTATGTAGGCATCCAGCTACAATGGTTGGCGTGACGATTTAGCAGCCATCACTCACTAAGGGGGATATGTCTGGGTTAGCTGTGCTGCGGAAGGAGGTCCGTGTTGCCATTTTGAGTGTATCTGTGTCACACCGATGACGCTTATGTTCGATTACATTACTGGGCAAAAACATTGCATGACGTTAAGCTTTTGAAGGCCTCAGCAGCAAATAGTCAGGACATTAGCCAGAATTAAGCAAATAGATAAAGTGACCTAGCTTTTCTTTTGATTTCCTTAAATGTATAAGTCTTGTGGCCAAACTTGCAGACAGCTTCATAGAGGAAAAAAACAGTCGGTGTTGTTCCACTCAATGTTAATGGCTTCAAACAATTGGGGAGGAGTTGAAAAACTATACCTAGTTAGTTTATGTTTAATGTGACACTAAATATTCTCCATAGGAATCAAATTTGGACTCTGACCAGGGCAATTTCGGATTTGGTTCATTTTTTTTGCCCAGGGATGCTTACTGTATGTACACGTACATTTACAGTCGCTGTCTGATTTGTAGTTACATGAATTTCCTGGAATTAAGCAATATAAAGGTGCCATGCTGCCCTCTAGTGGTGTGTAGTGCGCTGCATATTGCACTATTTGTGTTTCTTTGTATAGCCGCATGCTACGCATAGGCACGTGTTCGCCCACAATATTCATGAAGTTTTAAAGAATATTTTCACATACATTGCACTTTAACATGCACACTGTCATAAATTCCAATCCGAATAGAGTGTAGAATTATAAATCTGCATGTGCGCCTTATCGAATCTCGAGTACACGACTGCTGTAGTTTTTGCAGAACGCTAGGTGTCACTGTTTAAAAACAAACAACGACATTTTAAACTCAAGTCTGAACCTCACAGGTAGCCAGTGAAGCGAGGCCAATAATGGAGATATATGGTCGCGTTTTATGCTTACCAATGAGGAGGGGGGGCGAGCTGCTGCGTTTTATACTAACTGCAGATAATGAATTTAAGAGTGATCAGTTTCAAAGTATAAGCAATTCTATACATCATATCTCTAGTTGTATGAACATTCTTATACTACAAAGAGGGGGGCTCTTTCTGAAGGATCCTATTTTAAAAATTGTTGCACTGTGCCGAATAAACCACCACTTCTAAGAACTTCACTGGATTTATGAGTAAACAAGCTGTTACCATGGAAACACAATCATTCTGGAGCTGGGTGATTGCAGAACATTTTATTTTTTATAATTTTATATTAAAAAAAAATGATCAGTCAATATAGATAATTATCATGATATTATGTTCTTATTTTAAGGCTCAATTTTTGCTTGAAATTCCCTTTAATGTAGACGGCGCATAGCAGATGATAGTCCAAATAAAGAACGAAAGCATCATTTGCATGCAAGCGAGTGAGTGGCTGAGGGCTAAGTCTCTGAGCCTGTGATTGGAAGGCTGCTGGTTCGAGCCCAGGCTGGGGTTGCCACACATTAGCTGCTCTTGCACTGTGACTCCCCCCTGTCCTCTTCTGTGTGTTAAATGTGCCTCAGACTCATTCTTTTGTCCGGACTGACTGCTGACGAGTTCTGCCCCAGGATCCTCCCTTAGCCTATGTGGCTGGTGATTGGCTCAGATGTTAAGTCTCTGTGCTCGTGAGCTAAAGGCCCCCGGTTTGAGCCCCTGCCCCAGTGAAATGATTGTGTGTGTGTGTGCATCCTTGACCAGGGTCTTTAACTGTGCTGTATGGTCTAGCTGTGCAATTAAAAGCTTAATCCTTCTCCAGGACCCTAACTAAGGGTCCTGTTATACACTCAAATACACATCATACCTCTTTACTTACCCCAACTTGTGCTCCGTAGCTTTGAGATTAGAGTATAGGAAGCACCCCTGTAGCTGGGGGTTAAAGGCCTTACTTAAGGGCCCACAGACATGCAATCATTCCACTGGGGTGGGGGCTCAAACCAGGGACCTTCAGCTCACGAGTACAGAGACTTAACCATCTGAGTCACCTTTTGATTCTGGCACAGATGTTTCTGTAAATATATTTAATATATTTTATTACATTCTGTATATTTTAGATTGTAATTTCTCAAATGTTATGTGTCGGTGAACCTGGCAGAATAAGCATTTCACTTTGTTGTACAAGTGCGACTGCATGTGACAGATGAAAATTTAGACTTTGCCCGTTACAACTGCAGCACTTCAACATCTCTGCATCTGAACCAGCAGAGTTCAGGAGCTTCAGGCCCGATTTACAGCACAGAGTTTATGGGGGGAGGGGTTAAGTATTAAGCCTACAACTGGAGCGAGGTCCAGATCAGATTCAGTCACCCCAGGAGGTGGAGTGAAACGGAACTTCTGCAGGAGTGAGGTGAAGAAGAGGAAGAGCTCCATCCTGGCCATACTCTCTCCAGGACACGCCCGACGCCCTGGAGGAAAGACAGATGGGGAGATTCTCTCTGCTTATTAAGGGGAATAACGGACAACGATATTCAGACAGTTAGCCAGAGGAAAAAGCAGAGCTCCGTTCATAAGCATTTTACTGAAGGCCAGAGAAGAACCTGAGCTGTACCTGCAGAGAAGGGCAAGAAGGCGTCCCTCTTTCTGAAGCGGCCCTGATCGTCCAGGAAGTGGCCGGGGTTGAAGGTATGGGGAGTCTCCCATTCACTCTCATCATAAAGTACAGACGTCAACAGCGGGATGACAGTGGTCCCCTACAGACAAGTTTAATCAAGATGTAGTTATACACAGAAATGTACTGAATATACCCAAACAGCAAAACAAATTATACCCACTAAAAATAAACAAAAAAATTCTATTCTATACTACCTAACTAGCAGAACTAATTAAGTTGCAGCTATAATTTTCTTTTAGGTTTTAAAAACACGAGTGCCGTTGTTCACCTTTTTTATGTGGTATCCCCGGAAGACCACGTCAGACCTTGTGACATTCAGGGCATTCAACGGAACAATGTTGGCCAGTCTCTGTATCTCGTGGATGACGGCGTCTGTATACGGCAGGTTCTTCCTGTCCTCCACTCGAGTCTGCCGACCCCCAGTGACCATGTCCAGCTCCTCCTGTACGCGGTCTATTGGTGGATGGGGAACAGCCAGCATCTATGAATTCTAGAAGGCACTTAAATATGGGTCTTTGAGTACATATATTTTTTCAAAACTTGTCTATATTTCTTGACACGCTTGAACAGGTTTATGTGCACAATATTGTGTGTTGATCCAACAGTTTCATTATATATGGTAGTGAGACACATTGGCTGGTAGACATATGCTGTTCTCACCCTGTATACAGGGGTACCGTGTTAAGGCCTGTGTGAATGTGTCTGTCTTCACCCTGTATATGGGGGTGCCGTGTTAAGGCCCGTGTGAATGTGTCTGTCCTCACCCTGTATACAGGGGTACCGTGTTAAGGCCCGTGTGAATGTGTCTGTCCTCACCCTGTATACGGGGGTACCGTGTTAAGGCCTGTGTGAATGTGTCTGTCCTCACCCTGTATACGGGGGTACCGTGTTAAGGCCTGTGTGAATGTGT